TCTATTCTATTCTATTCTATTCTATTCTATTCTATTCTATTCTATTCCTTCCAATATTTATTCTATTCTATTCTATTCTATTCTATTCTAATTTGTTGGGTTTTTTTTTATTCCCCAACCAGTGGGCTGATCGTCCTGAATTACAACACCAGTTACTACCTGAAACCTCCAGCCAACACCACATCGGAAGCGCACACCCTGTTTCGGGCGAAGGACTTGTTGGTCAAAGGGGGCACTTGCCAACAAGGGGACCTACCCAACAGCGTGGCCGACGTCACTGGAATCTTCCATCCCTTGAAGCGAGTAGGAGGATCCTGTGTTCAAATCCTGCCCGGGCTAGGTTGGAGGGAGATGCAGGCCAGTCTCGCAGCTAGGCAGAGTGTAGAAGTTGCAGGTGGAGAAAGGAGGACTACGGCTGCTCCTCGAGTTACGGACCGCCAGCGAGCCCCAGATTCATGTGGCTAAAGGGAGACCCTGGTTCTGTGAGTTTTGCTCCATTTTACGACCGTCCTTGCCACTGTTGCTAAGTGAATCGCTCCACTTGATAAGTTAGGAACCACGGTCGTTAAGCGAATCTGGCTTCCTCCTTTGACTTTGCTTGATGGAAGCTCACCCGGGTGTGAGGGAAATTGCGTTACCACCGTCATAAGTATGAATCGCTCGCACAATAGTCCGAAGTTCGACCATGGGGAGGCTGTGTTCCTCGTTCTTAAGGCTGAACAACGGTCACAAGTCACTTTTCCCCCCCTCCAAGTGGCCGTCGGAACGGTCACTGAGTGAACGGTTGTAAATCAAGGATGACATTGGGTGGAGTGAGAAGAGAGACAGGAAAGAAGGTGTAGAAACAGAAGACAACATGGCTAGTAATATTCCCTTCCTTTCCTTCCTTTTCTTGTTCTATCAGGCAGGGACTTCCGGATAGACCAGTGATGGCTAACCTTTTGAGGTTCCTGTGCCAAAAATTGTGGCGCGCATTAGCGTGCGCACGCTTGTGTGCCAGCACCCAGACTGCAATGTGCCCCCCCCGGCCCCCTGCGCATGTGTGCACAATCCCCCCATGCCACCCCCTTACCGGCACTGCAACTCACAGCTGATTTTTCAGCTGGTTTGAGGCCTTTTTTGGCCTCCCAGAGTCTTGGAAAAAGCCTCTGCAAGGCTTTTCAGGGTGAATAATAGGCCCGTTTCATCACTTCCGGTATTACAGGAAGTGACAAAACGGGCCTATTATTCATCCAGAAAAGCCTCGCAGAAGTTTTTTCCAAGCCTCTGAGAGGCCGAAAAAGGCCTCAAACCAGCCGAAAAATCAGCTGTGAGGCGTGCGCATGCGCAGCGAGGTAAGTTTGCCTGTGGCTCGTATGTTGGCGCAAATGGCTCTGCATGCCACTTGTGGCACACATGCCATAGGTTCGCCATCATGTTGATAGACCATCCTAAAAATATCCAATCTTGGAAGATTAATGGGGGCGAGGGTGGGGGGGCGTGACCCAGGGGTAGGATTCAAAAATCCCAGTGACTGGTTCGCTGCCCAGAGGCTTCCCTGAGGCCTCTGGGAGGGTGAAAACAGAGGGGTCTGGAGGTCCTCTGGAAGCTGGAAACAGACCCATTTCTGGACTTCCAGAACTTCTGGTTTTGCCCTTCCGGAGCCTCTGCACGGAGCCCGCACTACTCACCTGCATCCAAAACAAGCGGTGTAGAGACTCCTGGGAGTGGCGGGGTGGGTGGGGCCAGCCGGTCAGTTCAAATACCAGTTTGGCGAACCGGATGCAAATTTAACATCCAGTTCATTCAAACCGGTCTGAACCGACCGCATCCCAACCCTGGGGGCGATTAACAGCCCACCCTCAAATTACACTGAGGGAGGAACAGGGAGTTCTCAACATTACAACAGTTTCACTCAGTGACCATTTGAAGTTACAACGGCACCAAAAATAGGGGGACCATTTTTCACGCTTACGACCGTTGCTGATTGATGTGATTTACATTCGGATGCTTTGATAGCCGACGCACATTGAGTTCCCGGAGACCTTTCGCGACCTTCTGACGAGCCCAGGCAAGGGGGAAGCCAGATCCACTGAACAACCGGGTGACGGTTTTTAAGAATGGCAGCGATTCCCTTCACCAAAGGGGTGAGGATGGTCATAAAATCTCCCTCAGCAACATAAATGTGTCGCTCACCTGTGGCCGTAGGCGGAGGATTGCCTCTACGTCCGTTTAGATTTCTACCAAGTCAAGAAAGAACTTGCGAACCTTCTGTCCACTTGGGGAGTTGAATTTCCATCTTTTGAATTTCCATTTTTTGGGAGAAGGGACTTTTTCAAATCATTTTCAGCATGACTATTATTATGAGACAACCCAGGAGCAAAACACAGCACACAGAGATATTTCACTGCGGTTTGTATACAACAGACACGTACGTGGTAGGCAAAATAACTTACGAGCAATCAAACTTCTGAACTCTACACAAACTCTGCAAGGAATACCGGACACAAGGAGGGAGGACATGCCCTCCAAGGGCTGCCTTTATATGAACACTTCTTAAAGGGGTAGAACCCATCCCCCAGTCTTAAAGGGAAATATCCACGCTATGCCGATTCATTCTTATTGCGTCATCCTATATGGCATCCGCTTCACTTCTGGCCGACTCTTAAATCCCAAGACTTTTAACAGGACAGGATGAAGATCAGTTTTGAGGGTCTCTCTGCTGCCGTTTTTCCTTCTGATATAAAATCATTTGTCTTGCAGAAAAAACGGGACTCTTGGAGAGCCTTGAAGTATATGGAGCTCTTTATTGTGGCAGATTACTCAATGGTGAGATATTCTTTCTCTTCCAGACGTGTCCTGGAATGAACCCAGGGACAACTTCAGAACTTCCCAGTTAGCCTCAGGGATTTATTGATTGATTGATTGATTGATTTGATTTGATTTGTCAATTGCTTACAAGGTAACAGGTATAAATAAAAACATAGTTACGAATACATGAAATGGGTACATGAAATGGGTTTCCCGCCTGAGCAGGAGGCTGGACTAGAAGACCTCCAAGGCCCCTTCCGATGTGTGCCTTTGCACGCTGGTGGCCGTGGAAGAAATAATCCACCTTTTTGGGGGGAAGAAGGAAAGTTTTGGCACTGCAGTTGCCTTCCTTTTTCTCACGCGTTGTTCTTTCACAGTTTAGAGCTCAAAAGCAGAATTTGGGAGTCACAAAACAGCGGATTCTGGAGATTGCGAATTATGTAGACAAGGTAATTGCCAGCTCCTTCCTTCCCTCCTCCCTTCTTTCCTTTTCTCCCTCTGATTCCTTCCTTCCTTCCTTCCTCCTGATTTCTTTTCTCCTCCTTGATTCCTCTCTTCCTTCCTTTATTTCCTCCTGATTCCTTCCTTCCTTTTCTCCCTCTGATTCCTTCCTTCCTTCCTCCTGATTCCTTCCTTCTTTCCTTCCTCCTGATTCCTTCCTTTTTTCCTCTGATTCCTTCCTTCCTTTTTTCCCTCTGTTTCCTTCCTTCCTTCCTTCCTTCCTTCCTTCCTTCCTTCCTTCCTTCCTCCCTCCCTCCCTCCCTCCCTCCCTTCCTTCCTTCCTTCCTGCCCTATAGCCATCCAAATCAGCCAAGTGACCCTGGGCAACTTAACCATTTAACACTGTGAGTTTGGGGAGCTCTCTATATCATAACTGAGCCCAAACTTTCTGTTGCTAAGCGAGAGAATTGTTAAGCGAGTTCTGCCACCATGTTATGACCTTTCAATGCCCCCCCCCTTGTTGTTAAATGAATCACTTCCATGGTTAAATTTGTAACACGGTTGTGAAGTGAATCTGGGTTGCCCCTGGAGTCTGCTGGTCGGAAGGTCTCCCCAGGCGATCCCCTGACCCCCAGGGACCCCGCGACCGTCGTAAATATGAGCCAGTTGCCAAGCAGCTGAATTTTGATCATGTGACCTGGGGATGCTGCAACGGTTGTAAGTGGGGGGAAAAGGCCCCTAAGTCCCTTTTTTTTCAGTGCCATTGTAATTTTGAATGGCCACTAAAGAAATGGTTTTAAGTGGAGGACTATGCTTGGTGCAAACACCTTCCCAGCGTTGCCCAGGTGGCCTCTGGACCTGCTAGGGCCGTGGTGGCGAACCTATGCCACGTGTGCCACAGGTAGCATGCGGAGCCATTTGTGCTGGCATGCGAGCTACAGGCAAACTTACCTCACTGCGCATGTGCGCACATCACAGCTGATTTTCAGCCAGTATGAGGACTTTTTCGCCCTCCCAGAGGCTTGAGGAAGGCTTCTGCAGGCTTTGCAGGTCGAAAACTAGGCCCGTTTTGGCACTTCCTGTTTTTCCGAAAACACCGGAAGTGACGAAACGGGGCTAGTTTTCAGCCTGCAGAAGCCTGCAGAAGCCTTCCTCAAGCCTTTGGGTGGTTGAAAAACACCTCAAACCAGCTGAAAATCAGCTGTGTGGTGCAGTGCAGGTGGGTGGGTGGGAATTATGCGTGCATGCGTAGGTGCTGTGCACATTGCCTTCTGGATGCTGGCACGGGAGTGCGAGCGTGCAAGCGCGCACACAATCTTTTGGCACAGGAGCCCCAAAAGATTAGACACCACTCTGCTAGAGAATCGGGAGCTCCTTCTGCCCCCCAATCGTTCCTCCCAGTCACCGACTCCTTCCAGCTTCTCCCTCTCAGTTTTACAGGTCCCTGAACATCAAAGTGGCCCTGATTGGCCTGGAAGTCTGGACGGACCAAGACAAGTGCACGGTGAGCGAGGACTCCCACGCCACCCTCGTCTCCTTTCTCCAGTGGAAGAAGACACTGCGGGCCCGCAAGAAACACGACAACGCTCAGCTCCTCACGTGAGTCCCTCCTCGGGGCTCCCTGGGAGTCAAGATGGCGGCCGAGGGCTTGTGGGGAAGGGCCAGGGCTGCAGTGGGCGCCATCTTGGTTTTTCTTAAAAATTATTTCTCTGCCCTAACGGTGGCTGTTTATGCTCCCCTCTGATAGGGTGGGTGGATAGATGGATGGATAGATGAATAGAGATAGATAGATAGGTAGATAGGTAGATAGATAGATACAGATAGATAGATACAGATAGATAGATATGATGGATGAATGGATAGACTGACAGAGATGGATG